CTGCTGATCTTTGACAATGTTATAATGGTGGTGTGCTATGTTTTAATGGTTAAAAGCATTATATAAGAAATGTTAGCTATTTGATCTCTACAATAATTCAAGCATTTCCTACCACATCTGCTATTTTCCCCAGCATTGTGAAGTCTGTTGCAATCGTAATGCAATACAACACTTGTGAAGAAATCCAAATTATGGTATCTCAATGCTATGTGTGTTGAAGTCATACGATATCTTTTTTCTCTTACAGAACCGTGCAACAAAAACTTTACTGCTCCTGAAGGCATTATCTTATCACCTACTTCCAGAAGTTCTCTGTATAATTCTGGCTTGGAATGCAGTTATATTATCCATGTATTTTCTGGCTACGGCGTAGAAATGAAGGTGAGTAACACTTTTAGTGCTGACATTAGAAACAGAAAATGTGTACAGGATTTGATAATTCATATAGTGCTTCATTTACTATTTGCTATCATGCAGGGCCGGCGCGTCCTATAGGCTAACTAGGCGGCCGCCTAGGGCACTATTTAAAGGGGGCATCGGCAGGAGCTTTACTGCTCTGCTCGTTTGGCCACCCTTCTATGTTTTAATAATTCTACAAATCGTGCCACTGGCCATGTTACCGGGCTGTTACATGTCTGCTGATTAGCGCCCGGGGTAACGCTGGTCCGGCGGCATCCACTTCAGCCTGCTGAGCCAGGTCCCCCAGAAGCACTCCCATTGACGCGAGGGTGCTTCAATTTCTCGCTCCCACCCCTTGCCCTGTACGTGGGGACAAGTGGGTGGAAGCATCGCAGAGGCAGGGCTGACACGCAGTAAAGGCAGTCAGGTGCACTGAAGCGGCCAGGAACACATGACAAGCAGTCAAATATTAAGAAAGGTAAGTGGGTCAATGGGGAATGTGTATTTGTGAAGAATTTGTGTATGTCAGTCTGTATGGGTCGGTGTTTGTCTATATGGGTCAGTGTGTGTCTATATGGGTCAGTGTGTGTCTGTATGGATCAGTGTTTGTCTGTATGGGTCTGTGTGTGTCTGTATGGGTATGCATCTCTGCTATCATGTATGATGGGGATGGAAGAGAAGCAGGCCAGCAATGCAGTGTGCATTACTTGTGGCACACAGTGGTTACATGCTAACATGCAGTCCTACCAGGTGACATAGAGTAACAGAAAAAAGAAAGGAAGGCAACGCCACTACAAACCACATAAATTAAAAGAGCACAGAATAGGCAGACTAGAATGCAATATATATGATAGAAAATAAGTGTAACGGACCGTTTCAGCACACAAGGGGTTAAAACCGTTTAGGCGATATTCCCCCTTTCAGATGCACAGGCACAGCTACTGCAGAACACCAAACTCCTGAACTGAATACAAGGGAATGCTTCAAACTCCCGAACTGCATACCAGGGAATGCGCCAAACTCCTGAACTGCATACAAGGGAATGCTCCAAACTCCCGAACTGGAACCTCACGAATAGCTGCTAGCAGACGAACAGGAAAAGCACCCAAGCGGCTTACACTCCTGGCAATCAGTCTCTAACAGCATACAGTAAATCCCCCCCAAAGACGAGACAAGGCTCCGTGTTGAGAGGTCAAGCAGTGGTCTGTTTAATGAGGGCTACCTGCCCAGTATTTATGCAGGTCTCCCACCTGGTGGACACTCCCCTAGGGGACCAAATGGGAGACTGTGACAAAGGACAGACATGAACTAATGACAGACACACAGAGGTAAAACCTCCCCACAATGCATCCTAACTTCCCTCCCTCTGTCCTGGAGATAATTGGGAAGTAATCCAATTATCTCCAGCACAGAGGCAAAACTCCATTAACCACATGGCAGTAAAAGACAGTAAAAGACATAAAAATGTATAAAGTTACAACTCTTGCACAAAACATATACATTCTACCTATCCCCAGATAGCTTAGATCTGAGCGCACAAAAGTACCGTGTAGCGCTCAGATCCTATGCACACAGTCCAATCGCCGTGGAGTTAAAGTGTTCACAAAGTCTGTTCTCTATCCGAATAGACTCCATGTGATGGCTATCTGGGGTAATGCAGTTCATACGGTTTAAACGACCGAATGAACAGGCATCCGGTTAAATAAGCCTTTTCTGCAGGGGAAAAGAAGGCTTTTAACATGGGGCCATAGTCCAAAGGCAACAGGCGAGCAACCAGGCTTCTCCAATGCAATGTGGTGAGATTGGTCTCGTCACATCTCTCCCCTTTTCCAAACAGACTAACAGGGTATCTGACCTCCTGCCGGTCAGTGCCCTTGTTAGTCCAGCAGCCCACCCACAAAACACAATCAGCAGTACAGCCCACCCACAATAAATGGTTACTACACCTGGGTAGAGGAGAAGCTTGTCCATGTCTATGTGCCTCACCACGGCTGTGTTGGGTATGGGTATGCTGACTTGGTGGGTTGCTGAGTGGGCAGAGACCAGCGGTACTCTTCCCTGGTGCCAGCGCTACTGTGGAGGTAGCCTGGTTGGAGCCTGGTGCTTGGATATGTTGGAGGGGGAGACCAACTGTCTCCCCTTTAGATACCCAGCTCTGCTGCCGGAGACCGACTGTCTCCCCTTTAGACACACAGCCCTGCTGCTGGAGACCGACTGTCTCCCCTTTAGACACACAGCTCTGCTGCTGGAGACCGACTGTCTCCCCTTTAGATAAACCGCTGGGCTGCCGGAGGGGGGGACTGACTGTCTCCCTTTTCTTTAGCTAAACGGCCCTGTCGCTGGGGGGTAGAACCGACCGTCCCTAGCCCCTGTGCTGTACGTGCAGAGACCACGGTCCCATCTGCACAGTTGTGGGGCTTACTGTCTCCCCCTGGTACATTAAGCTGTCGCTGGGGAGAGGGGGTAACAAGCTCCTCTCCCAGATATACTTCCAGCCGCGGTGGAGGGAGACCGACTGTCTCCGCTCCCAATACAGAGTCCTGCTGCTGGGGAAAGGAGACTGGGCTCGCTATTCCCGGTAGGACACTCTGCCGCTGGGGAATGGAGACTGGGCTCCCAATTCCCAATAAATCGTACTGCCACTGGGGAATGGAGACTGGGCTCCCAATTCCCAATAAATCATCATGTCGCTGGGGAATGGAGCTTGGGTTCCCAATTCCCCAAAAAATCATACTGCCGCTGGGGATCTGAGCCGACTGCCCAGCATCCCTGTAGCTCACCTTGCCACTGGGGAGGGAGGACGCTGCTCTCCTCTCCCTGCAAGGTACACTGCCGCTGGGGGACAGGAATTGCTGTTCCCGCTTTTATTTCCACATATTGTTCCCTAATCAAGAAAGAATACTAAGACCTCACGTATCCCATAAGTGGGGATTATACCACTGTATGTTATCAACACTAGAGCTAAGTCCATAGCTTTTGAAAACGTGAGTAGGACCATATACTCTTTTATTGCTTCTACTCCTTTCGGGACATACTATACCATCAGTTGTTATTTTTTCATTTCATATGATGTACAAAGACGCATCTACACCACTCTGAAGAATCCCCCACTACTAAAGACGGTATTCACCTCTACAAAGATATACCTCGTTGTTTGATTCATCTACCAGTCAGACTATTTATTCTGGACTTCTATTTGCTTATTATCTATCAAATATATTGCATTCTAGTCTGCCTATTCAGTGCTCTTTTAATTTATGTGGTTTGTAGTGGTGCTGCTTTCCTTTCTTTTTTCTGTACCATTTCTATTGTAAGGCCTGTGAGGGAGCCCTACTTTTTAGGTGTGCTGCCACTTTTTACTTATATATTATTGTTTCTGTTGTATCTTGTATAGATAGAAAGCGCTGATCCCTTTCTTCTGACATAGAGCAACAATCTAGCAAAGTGGCATGGGGAGAAATGTCCTGCAATAGCATCAGACTAGCACTGGTTTTAAATGTCCCTTTTACAGTGTCCAAGGGGCAGGATACCAGACAGTAAATAATCTAGTATAGAGGGACAGGAATCTCACGTTGGGGTTCTCACACTGAGTTTGGGACAGGTGGGTAGCATGTGCTATAAAATTGCCCAACATTACTTAATATTGTATAATTATGTATATTTAAAACGTTAAATATAAATTTGTATTTTTTTATTGTTTGTATTTTATTGTTTTTCATTATATTTAGTGCACCCTCTATAAAACACAAAAAATTGCATTTCATCTCCAACTAGAGTCCCTTAAAAGAAGTGATTTTTGTTGGATGATCACTGCAGGGAAAGTTAACATCGGATTTGGATTTCCTCCATTTGTGCTTGTCTGTGTGACCATAAACTGATAATGTCTTCAGCAAAGATTTTAATCATTTGAAATAATTCTTTCAGGGGTCTTCATACTCTGATGTTAGCAACCAACATTGTTTTCTTTGTTGTATAAAGAAATACCCTCAAACTTACCCCAGATGGTCATCTTGTTAAATGGAACATCAGACCCCGAAGCAGAGATAATTATCTTAGCAATTCACTTAATTTATGTAGTAAAAGATAATAAATACTGGATCGCTATGTGACTAAGAAAGTATGATTTTGTTTGTATCTTATCATTTGAATCTGATATTCTTTATTATCAACACTTAGATGTAGACTAGGTTAACTTTTAGGTCAAATTAGAACAATAAGGCATATAGTGTGTAAGGGTTAACACATTTTTTCACTGCATTATGTGAAGTATAACAGTAACATTCTGTCACTATGAAGTCCGACAGTAATTAAGGGGCAAATATTATGAATCATTGCCTCGCTGCATTTACAACTGAATAGAAGAGGTTCGCTAAGAGGAGAAACGACCAGTTCAGTTCTATACTCCATGAATCACCAGCAATCTGTGTCATTTTCTGCACATTGTATGTTCGTGATTATTATTCAACATTCCGTAGTATTTCAGTTAAATCCTGCGGCTCTTGTTACAATGGCCAAAGTATCAAGGATATTGGTACACCAAGAATCAAGGGTGTCTAAACTGCCCTTTGACCTCTTAACCCAGGCTTCCCCAAACTCCGGCCCTCCAGATGTTGCTGAACTACAACTCCCATGATTCTCAGCCTATCTATTTCATTCATTGAATCATGGGAATTGTAGTTAAGCAACATCTAGAGGGCCGGAGTTTGGGGAAGCCTGTATTACCCCATGGAACTTCTGATCTGCAGTATTTATAACTTTATTATAAATCCAAAATAATGAATGAATGGGTGGCTGAGAGCTATATCATACCTCAGCTCTAACAATCACCAGTTTCGAGGGAGCACAGAAGACCTACTCCCCATGTAGAAAGGGATGTGTGAAATGTTTGATCATACAGGTGGTTGTAGCAAGATACAAAGTATCCCATAATAATATCACATTAGGCCTTTTAGCCACGTGGGTGAAGAACTGATCTGCAGGGCTCTAGCTCAGGATAATCAAATGTCCAATGCAATGGGTAATGGCTATTGAAAAGGGGCACTATAGAACTGGATTAAAATCTTTTGACCTGCATATTTATGTATATTTTTTTAATTTTTTGTTGTTGTTTTGTTAAATATTTCCACCGTTTCACCTAGCTGCTAAGAAATCATAAGTACAGAGTCAAGAAGGCACAGTAACTGCACTTCTGCAGGTGATAAATAAATTTTTAGCTGCCAGTCATTCACTCTATAGTCAAAATGAAGTTATTAGATTCTGAGTACTTTTTACATTACAAACAGTTCTGTTTCCCCTGTATGATTTTCCATATATTAGCCAATTTTTTACGAGCTTTAAAAGGTGCTACTTATGAAACATTGTATACCCCCTGGCATCTTTGCTAGACTTCTGGAGTAAATTTGAGGCATTTAAAATGTATAAATGAAAGTTTTTGTGCCGATACATGTTACATATACTTATTATTTCAAAATATAATTATTGTTATCGTAGGACCTAAAATAAAGCACATTTTTACATGTCTCCAAATTAGGTTAAAACCAAAGTTTTATGTTTCAGTACATTTAAATGACAGGTTCTACGAGGAAACAAAGCCTTTTTTAAACTTAGAATAAGAAACAGGGCTGTGAATTTGCAATAGGAAGCTTATAATTAAAGGCTTATGATTGCAATGTCGACATTATGTCACATTCAATAGCAACTCATGTATGTCAGATCACCATGTGATAGGATTTGGAAGTTATTGTAACGATCCAAACCACCTACCTCAATGTAACTGATTTTCATATCCTGCAGATTAATTAGTGCTTGGCAACGTGGAAATAATAAATTGGTTGGCACACACATACACATGTCTTTATAATAACATACAATTAGACCACCTCTTCCGTCAAGGCTGTAATACCGTACATGTGGATATATTTTGTTCTGTTTAAAAAAACTAAAAAACAATTACTTTCTATATTGTATAAGTAGTAAAACACCAGCAGATAGAAATATTTGTCTGTGGTTCTACTTATTTTTTTTCTTTAAAGGGGCAAAACTGTTAGTAATGATAAGACTGCAATCTTGGCTTCCCTTATGGACAGTAAAGCGTTTTTTCAATGGATCACAATGTGAGCAAAGAAAAACCTAATCTTTGCTCTCAAGCTTCATACAACCCAGAGATAGGGGACGTGCATTAGTTGGGAGCCTTTGTAGCTATAAGTGATACCACTTATACATTACTAGATGCCAAAGATAGATGTTTAGCATGCAAGGTAACCGTCTACCACATCTCAAGCCATGGGAGATGGATTAGAATTTGAAAGGCACAAGGTTAATTTACCTAAACAGCATTCAAATGTTCTCCATTTTTGAAAATTAATAATGAAACCTAAATAAAACATTTCATTATTATCAAGGAATTATTATTCATTCATTCATTATTATCAATGAATTATTATTCATTATTATCAAGGAAAGGCATAGAGAAAAAAAACATTTTAAATAATTATGTTAAAATAAGGGAAAATCTAGTGGATTTTTGTGGATTTGAGGCCTCGCAGTGGGGCATTTCAGCGTGACGGCCTATATAATCTCGTCATTGACCTTTCAGTGTCAAAAAGCAAGAAGATTTTTATAGATGCTCTCTCAGAATCTATGTCACTTCCAGGCTCTAGTCTATTCAGGTTGATACAATCACCAAGACACATTCTGTCACTGACACTTAGAATTTATTTATACTTCCCAATATTAAGGGTTCCCACAAAGCTAACAATAAAAACAGCATTTTATTGATTTGAATTATCAGTATGTGTTATATTAGAGCTTTCGAAATGTAACAGAAAAATGCTTCCTTTTTTTTATTTTTATTTTTTTATTCTTTATTTTTGACGTGCATGACGTGATAGTAACAGGCAGTCTCGCTATGCCACACCAGCAAAAGCAAGACAAGAGTAAACATTGAGCTCAACAGTGTAGCCATATTGGCATAACTGGGCACATTTTGTTAGGAAATCGAGAGTGGTGCACATTTAAAGCATAGATACAGTTTAAGAGAATAAAATATCATAACATCAAGCTTGGTCATGTAGTTAACACTAAATAGCTAGACAGAAATAAGCTACACATTGTCTATAAGTGGGCAGGATGATGCTATTTAGTATAAGAGTTGTCGTTTACAGCATAAACATGAGGGTAGAAACTCTTAGGTGTAGTTAGGTGTGATGTAGAACTGTAGGGAAGTGCAAGTTAAGTGGAACCATACCCAATGATCGGTATACCGAGGTTTTGGCCAGATAACATAAGGGGATTATGCTAATGCTAGTGCCCTGCTTTGTAAGCTGCTAATCATGAGGGGGCATGTGGGTAAGGTGGTAAGTCTTGACCTGAACGTTGGATAGAGAGGGGATATTGGACTATACATTTTACATGCAGGTTAGGTGGTATGGACAAACAGGTCAGCTGCTGTGGGATTGTGTGCTCGGCATCTGGTGATCAGTCTGTCTCCTCTGCAAGGTTGTCACCCGATTCCCTGGCTGGGTACTGCTTGGAGGATGTAGGTAAGTCCGTTAAAGATAGCCCAGTTGCGGCACTTGTGTGAGGTGTGTCCATGATCTTGGCCCCATCTGTAGCCTGTTGTGCTTGGAGCAGGGCAGAGTACAGGGGTGGCGGCACTTTGGGAGCGAGTTCGGGGACTCCATACGATTGTGTCTGTCCCGTTTTGGGTGCTACGGACGGCCGCTGTGTTTCGTTGCCGCCGCTGGCGGGTGGTCCGTCTGCGTTCTGTGCGAGAATTTAAAGGAGTTCTCCGGTCGACCTTAGGTCTGGGTGGGCTGTCTGCACACCTGTCTACACACCTGTGACTTGGGTGCGTGGTGTGTTCCGGGCTACTCGCCCCCCTGTCCCTCTCATCTTTGCCTCACAGGTAGGTGGAAGTGGTGGTTGGGCCAGGCGTTGGTGCAGTTTCTCCCAAAAACTGTTTAATATTTTGTCCAGCCGTGTTAGGGCTTCTTCCATATAGTAGCCCCCCTAGTTGCTGAAAAGTTGTCTCTGACTGCCATTTTGTTCAACCATGTGAGTTTCAAGCTGGCGTCTTGGTGGTCTGCTGGAGGCAGCGTAGCTGTGCGCTTTGGGTCGGTGGGGACCGGGATAACTCCCGCCAGTCCATGGGGGGGACGGGGTTCCACACTGGCATGTACAGTAAGATGTGATGGTCGGGGAGCGGCCATCTCCCTCGCGCCCTCCATGCTGTTAGACCGCGATATCCGAGTTGGTGAGGCAGGTGAGTATCTCCACATATTCAGTACTCTTGTGTAGGTCTACTGGTCCTCTGTCATTTGGGAAACAAGGTAAGCCAGTTCTAGGCCTGTATCAGTGCAGAATTCAATCAATTTAGCTTGGCAGTGCTGGAACTGCAGACATACACGTCTGTTCGGCTCTGCAGTCAGGTCCCGTCCCCCAAAAATGCTTACTTTTTAAGTGCCTAAAGCATTTTATGCTAACATGTTCATGGATGCAAGCTATACACACATCTTCCATGGATGTAACAAGTAAAATGAAGGCAATGCTGTACGTCATTAGAAAAATGTGTAAAAGAACTCAGCTGACCAATGAATGGCTTGCTGTTTATGCACTTCACAAGGCCACTCTCGACCCTGAGCTGTGTTACATAAGTGGATAACCAACACATTACAAAGTCAAAAATACAAGGACCAGAGAAAAATATAATTTAAAAACATGAAAAGGTCATTGTCACCATAAACACAGTTGGAATACCGGCCAATAACAATTTATGTAATGACACGCAATAGCGCTTGCATCTCAAAAACAGAAATAAACAAATGACAATAACAATAATAAAACACAACCTGCAAGAAATCCTTTTTACAGACATGTTATGCCCATTATAGGCTTACCAAGATTTATTGAGTATTTTCAGTAGTACATAAGTACAAACAATATTATTAATAGCCACTGCAATTCTACCGAAATAGACAATATATTTAAAATTAACTATATAGTCAGTGAGAGAATGTAAGCTTAAGCTTAAACTGAATTTGGTGTGTTGTGGTGTGGTGTAGTGAAGTGGGGAGAATAAGAGGAAAATAGAAAGGGAGGGATCGATGGGTACCCAGGGGAGGGGCTGACACAGAAGGTTGAAGGCAAGGCCGCTATTGGTACCATGATTTTCATATTTTATCAAATTTAAGCAAAGAGCCTAAAATCCCGTGGGACATCTCTTCATAGTCATGACTGATTTGTAGAGAGTCAGAGATTGGTTGTGTTGGAGGAGTCTCAGGAGACTTCCAGTGTTTGGCTAAATGAGTTTTTGTTTTAAGTAGAATATGTAAGATCAGTTTTTTATGTGTTTAGATCATTGGGGATCATGTCTAGTAAGAAAACTTGAGGGATCCAGGGAAGTGTTTGCCCTGTGACTTCGACAGTGATCCTCTGGACCACCTTCCAATATGTGGAAATGTTATCACAGCTCCAGAAGATATACAGCAGTGTTCCAGTAGATGATTTACATCTCCATTAGGTTAGTGAGGTCTCCAAGTAGATGTAATATAAGCAAGTGGGCATCATCTACCAGCAAAAGAGAAGCTTTCTGTTTATCTCCCAGTGAGAGAGGCACTCGGAGACTCAGTTGAAGTTTATTGCTAGATTGTGTCATTTTTCAGGTGACAAAATCTGTTGAAGGTTGGACTCCAAT